GTAGAGTAGCAGCTCCCTCGCTCGTCCCGGCTTCTTCTTCTCTTCCTCCTTCGCGTCTCCTCTCGTCCGCCTTCTGGGCGAGCGCTGCGCGGTTTGCTGACAAAAGGCAGGAGGACTCGCAGAGAGGCGTTGGGGGCGAGAGAGAAAGAAAGAGAGAGAGCCAGGTTTCTTCAACTAATGGCATCGGGGTTGTGTAGGCGTTGGGAAAAAAAGTTGAAGTTTTCCCCCTCTTTCCTGCCTTCTTCTTCTCCCTGGAGAGGAAAAAGGCAAAGGGCGAAGCGCCTCCAACGTTTGGGCTCGCGGATGGATTTGGATCACGGGCAGGGACCAGGAAATCCCGGATTCAGCCCGAAGCGTGGCGAGAGGTCTTCACTTCCCAAGTCACTCGAGAGTCGGGGGAAAGATGCGATCGACTCGGAATGGAATGGAATGGAATGGAATGGAATAGAATAGAATAGAATAGAATAGAATAGAATAGAATAGAATAGAATAGAATAGAATAGAACAGAGGAGAGGAGAGGAGAGGAGAGGAGAGGAGAATAGAATAGAATAGAATAGAATAGAATAGAATAGAATAGAATAGAATAGAATAGAATAGAATAGAACAGAGGAGAGGAGAATAGAATAGAATAGAATAGAATAGAATAGAATAGAATAGAATAGAATAGAATAGAACAGAGGAGAGGAGAATAGAATAGAATAGAATAGAATAGAATAGAATAGAATAGAATAGAATAGAATAGAACAGAGGAGAGGAGAATAGAATAGAATAGAATAGAATAGAATAGAATAGAAGAGAAGAGAAGAGAAGAGAAGAGAAGAGAAGAGAAGAGAAGAGAAGAGAAGAGAAGAGAAGAGAAGAGTTGGAAGGGACCTTAGAGGTCTTCTACTCCAACCCGCTGCTTAGGCAGGAAACCCTACACCACTTCTCTAATGATCGTGGGGAGAAACAAGGGGGAAAGACTTGGTGAAGTTTGGGGGCTGCGGACGTTAAGCTCCGGGTTTTTTTTATCCTCGACTAGTTAGTCCTTTTCTAGTGTCTTTGGCTGTCTTGGAAGCACGCTTTATCTGCCCAGAAAGACTGTTTAGGGTTGCTTTGGGCCAATTCTAAGAATAAACCTTGGCTTGTCTTTCTCCGCGGTGGCAACAATCGCTCATCCGCCAGACAACAAGCCTTGGGCAAGGTAGCCACATAGGTTAAGCCTGCGTCTTCTACCTTGCATTTTCTTTATCCCCGGCTCTGCCTTTCGCTAACCAGCTCTGAAAGGAATTACTGTTACCGGGTTGTGTGTTTACAGACCGACACATTTTTTGTGGTAATCTTTCTCCCCTTGGTTTCAAATAATTGAGGATCAAAGGGCTTTATGCTTTTATTGCAAAAGAGTAGAGACTGCTTTTAAATGAAACTTCTGCTGTCACATTTGTTGTTGTTGTTGTTGTTGTTGAAAGGAACATTATTGTTCCTATTATTGATAGGAACATCCCAGATAGGTTAGAGAGACTTGAATATATAGGAATGGGAATGTTCCTATGCATTTAGTCTCCCTGCCCCTTTGTTCCTCTGAGCAGGGCTGCCCAAAGTTAGGTGCAAGGCAACAGGTGGCAGGAACCAGCAGGAATGCTTCAGATGTGTTATCCCCCCTGTGGGATAGGGAGAGAGAGACAGACAGACAGACAGAGATTGAGAGAAAGAGACCATTGGTCTGTGGAGATAGGATTTGTGTGTCCTTGCCCTTCTCTCCAAAGAGGGAGGGGTATTTCCTTTTGTTTTCCATTGCATCTCATAAGGTCAGAATAATAGCATTGATTAATCAGGCAGCCATCTATCTTGTCCAGTATTTTGCTTCCAGCAGTGGCCAGCCAGATGCCTCCCCAATCTAGAGCAGGGAGGGCATAGATCAGAGGCAGGACACATGCTTTGCACGTAGAATATTCCAGTTCCGGTAGCTTGCTTTTTTAAAAAAAAAGCTAGGAAAGGGTCTGTCTCTGTTTGTTGCTAACTGGAATACATACAAGTGAGCTATAGGTAGTTTTGGGGTAGGAGGGGAGCATATGAGCTAAATGTGGAGCTAGATAAGACAGAGATGTTATAGTTAAAGAGTCAACTGCTCTAGGTGGGTTTCCAATTGTAGATAAATGTCTATGGAGATACTCAGTCATCCAGGTCATGGTTGTCCCAAAGATGCTTGTTTTCAAGAGGCAACTGGACTTTCTTTGTTTTTCTTTGAAGATGTTTCACTTCTCATTCAAGAAGTTTCTTCAGATTTTCAGAGTTGAAGGCATTCAACTCTTCAGAGTTGAAGACTTCAGCTCTTCAGAGTTGAAGACATTTCGCTTCTCATCCAAGAAGCTAAATGTCTTCAAAGAAAAAACCAAAAGTCTAGTTGCCTCTTGAAAAAGAAAGCACCTTTGGGACAGTTGTAGATAAGTTTATATTTCCTCTGAAAGTTACCATATGCCTTATGGAGTTCTTAGGAACTTTATTCATGCATTATCAGGGATCAAAATTGTGTCCAAGAGTACTGCTTACATGTATATGAAAGTGAGTGGAACTGTCTTCAGATTTGCTCTTCAGTGTGGCAACAGCCAAACTGCTAGACATGCCTACAGAAGATGTAACGTTCCCCAGATTAGATATTTCACTTTATAACTCTTCCCAGTTTCAGATAATCACACATTCCAGTGAATACTCATAAAAGGCTCTGGTGGTCTCCTTTCTGAATAAACTGGGGAAGCTCAGAGCATTTTGGTCAGGTTAAACTCTACCAATGATGCAGACTTGCCTTAAATTTCTTTCGCTATTTCTATTTTCTAGAGCAGTGCTTCTCAACTTTGGAAATTCTAATATGTGTGGACTTCAATTCCCAGAAGTGCTGCCTGGGGATTTTTGGAAATTGAAGCCCACACATCTTAGAGTTACCAAGGTTGAGAAGCACACTGCTTTAGAAAAATCAAGACTTCTTTCACGGCACGATTTTTGGAAGTGGTTTGCTATTGCTTTCTTCCTAGGGTTCTCACAGAGTCTCCCAGCTTGCCTAAAACAACACTAAAACTCACCATCTCTCAGTTTCTAGCATGGTGCCTTAAAACGCTAAAGCAAACAGATTCTCAATAAAAGAAAACTAGAAAACTGAAAATTCATTATGTTGAGCTGCCATGAATGAAGTGCAAAGAGCAACTGGCTAAGGTCTAGCACAGTGTTTGGCAACTCTAAAATGTTTGGACTTCAATTCTCAGAATTCCCTAGCCAGCATCGAAGTTCACACTTGCTAGAGTTGCTAATGTTGAGAAATACTGGCCTAGGATAACATGAGCTATTGTTGCTGCTATATTGTTGCCAGTTTGTTTCCAAACCCAATTTAAAATTTGGATTTGCTCTTTAAAAACTGTTAAAGTTCAGTTCTAACATTTATTTATCTACTCTCAATAAATCAGGTCTTTGTTATGTGTCTGTTGATTGAAAAACAGTCAGTTTTGTGGATATGGGGGAAAAGGCTGTTTTGATGATGACTTTATGACTCTATCATTCAGTTGGGTGCTATTCAATCCACGGTTTTATGTAGAAGTAATATATTTGAACATGGGTGGTAATTCACTGATGGATTCTTCAAGGAAAAAGTCTGTTAAAACTATCCCATCCTTAATGATATAATAACCACTTCCAAAATTCATATTATAACCCAAGTTCTGTCAGACTTCACTAACCATTAGTTAATTCATAATTCATTATAACTCATTAGACAAGGATCTTCCAGAGGTCTGGAAAGTACTATGAAGTGGTATGTAAGTCTAAGTGCTAATGCTATTGCTATCTGATGAATCCAATTTCTTTTTTTAAAAAAAATAGACCACAATCCTCCAGACGTTCATTTTATCTTTGGTAATATCCTCAAGAATGTTCAAACTGAAAAAATATCAATAACAGGCCAGTATGAATGAATCAGTCTTAACTGGAATTTCAAGATTCAAAGCATTTGTAATTCCAACATCTTCAAGATTTAAAAAGTTTCATTCCTAGGCTATAATAGGGAAGCATCAAAACATGCATATGCTCAATTTTGCATGAAGGTGAAAAACAGCAGAAAAGAGAGCTCCCTTAGAAATTATGAACCTGGGTTTGGTTTAGGTGAATAGTTTTAACAGCTTCACCACAATGCTTTTTAAAACATCCATTCCTGCTCATTCTTTTAATGCAGAGATAGCAGAAATGCAAAAAAAGAAAAAAAGAAAAAAAAGAAGTGGAGAACAATCTGCAAATTGACCAAAGATAAGTTATCCAAAGTTGTACTAAGCCAATACAAAAGAAAAAAAAAAGAGTCAGTTTGGTCTAGTGATTAAAGAACAGGCTAGAAATCAGGAGACTTGAGTTCAAGTCCCACCTTAGCCATGAAAGCCAGCTCAGTGACTTTGGACCAGACACGCTCAACCCATTCTACTTCACAGGGTTGTTGTTGTGGGGAAAATAGGAGGAAGGAGGAGTTTAGTGTTTGTTTGCCACCTTGAGTTATTTGTAAAAATAATAAAGGTGTTATTGGGTGTTTTAAATTTGTCTCGGCCAAATTGTTTAATTAGGTTTTATTCTGTTTTTAAATTTTGTATTTATGTGTTTTATTCTGTGGCTGTTCACCACCCTGAGTCCTTCAGGAGTAGGGCGGTATACAAATCCAATAAATGAAATGAAAATGAAATATAAATAAGCAAATAAATAAATAAAGTGTCCAGACTCATTTTAAAAAGAAACACATTAAAATACTTTTCTGATTGCTTTTCTAAGATATTGTTCTTGGCATGGCACTGAAATATTTTTATATTGCCACGATGTAAAAGAGATGTGGAGACTCTAGAAAGAGTGCAGAGAAGAGCAACAAAGATGATTAGGGGACTGGAGGCTCAAACATATAAAGAACGGTTGCTGGAATTGGGTATGTCTAGGTTAATTAAAAGAAGAACTAGGGGTGACATGATAGCAGAGTTCCGATATCTCAGGGGTTGCCACAAAG